CTTGCCAGCCCGCTCAGAGATGTGTATAAGAGACAGGTTTACAGCAACAGGGGTGCATTAAATTAAAAATCGACTCACAGTATCTTAAAGTAGAGATTTCAAGCTTTCATTTGAAAAAAAGTTCATCATTTTACGATGATTTTTCGCGGAGTTACTGTTAACCAAAGTTAAATACTATATTGCATGGTGTTCATATTATTTTGTCCAACCCCTGTATATATATATAATATACTTACCTTACTATCGCAGATGACATCTTAAGTTTTGCAGCTGTTGAAGGTGCTTTTGGAAGGGCAGCTGATATTTTTTTTCTGTTTAAGAATTCTTGTAATGTTCGCTGTTTTGGCCTATGATATGGTAAAGAAATTTCTGTCTCTCTCAATAAACGTTGACTTTCGCTATGGATTTGACGCATTGCTTCATCTTTAGAAGCTCTTCTAGAGCCCTATATTATAAAATCAAAATAATTCCATTAATTTAAAAGATTTCGTTTTATATTAACTGCTATAATATAGTAAATATATTCAGTGCTGCCCAAGCTATATTCAGTGAATTGTAATTGGCCATGGTATATTCACTTCTGTTACCTTTCTTTTTCTCAATGAAAATAGAAAAAGGTAATAACCGTAAATGCACCGACGTATATTATGTCAATGGTCAAAAATACATAAATTCTGTAGACACTACTTTAAAGAATATATTTTATTTCTGTACTGCTATGCTAATTGAATTTTTATAACTCAATGGCTTTGTTTACACCAAGCATTTGATACGTGTACTAACTAGTAACTTTCTATTAAATTTTCTTAATTTCGATGATGCATATAAACATATACATGATATGTATTTAATTAATCATCTAAATGTATAGTGTATCAACTTAGTACGTCATTCTTTATATGCATTTTAGAAATTAAGATAATTCAATAGAAAGTTTCTAGTTAGTACGCGTATCAAATGCTCAGTGTAAACTAGGCCATTAAAATGATTACTAGAGATTTGAAAAATACATGTTCAAGAACTGCATGCAATACAATCAACAAACCATTTGTTAAAAATAATTTGCAAAAAATTTGTTAATTAGTTATTGGCCTTTAAAGTGTTTATAGTTTAAATGTATTCGTTTACTAGCAATAATAAATATGTTCACTTATATATATATGCTTTACTTTTTCTAAACTTTAAAAAAACGTATATATTTACTAGTAAATGTATATAATTATTGGATTTTATTTTTATTCCAAATTTGTGTAAGTGTACACATACACACACACACACATGAATTGAACTAGGATATATACGTTATTAACTTAAGATACAACACTGTAAAATTTAGTGTTTATAAACTTTTTGTACATAGAATTATTTGTTTACCTGATACAGAATTTGATCTTCAAGCTCGTCGTCCATAATATTTTAATCTCTGAATTGCTCTTGCGCTAATAATTTTTTGCCAGAAACGATTAGTCCAATCAATGTCAAGTTTATTCTTAATAATCTTAATATTATTCTGAATAGAGTGGTTAAGAATCTAAGCAATGCCAGCTGATGCCAGCTAGGGCCCAGGACTTGCGACAGGCGACTTTGCGAACACTTGCAAGCATTATTCTTCTCCTTCTACTTAAGGCTTCGACTCCCACCAGGAGCGATACAACCGGTATCCCTTTGGCCTAGTTTACACCGAGCACTTGATACCATGGTGGAAGGGATAGCATGGTGTGCACAGTTTGCGAGCGTCTCTCTCTAATTCTTTGCCCTCTCGCTTGTTTGCTGACCGTTCAGTACATGTTTGGCCAACCTCAAAAAATAAAATATTT